ACACCACTAATAACTGATAAACAACTACAAAAAAGTTGCATATAAGATATTATGATTAAGTTTTAAGTTTATATAATTGTAATTTTTACACACCTGAAGATGGTTCATCTAAGAACCGAAACATGTAGTGAGAAAGTGATGTTCCAAATGTAAATCGAATGTTTCGATAAGGAGCATCACATGGTATTTTAACTATCTTAATTTTAAATTTTAAATTGTGATTAGACGGACAAGATTAATTAATTAAATATATATTTTCACAATATGACGCAACTCTATCATCTCATTCATTACGTTAATTTATTTTGAAGTAAAACTGCGTGGATTTTGACATCCACGTCTCCCATAAGCCTTTATGTCAAGGAACAGCAGCACTGGTCGATTTACCTTTGGCTTTAAAACGAATGACCAGGCCTTTCAGAAAGCCACGTTCTCCAGTTTTGTATCAACTGTCTAAGAAGTTGGCCATCTTCCATAAATAAATATCTTTGTATATTTTGTTGGCTTGCTCGGAAAAACACCTGGCAAACCTTGAGAAACTAAAGTGGGAAATGCTGTAAACTGCGAAATTGTTTTAGGGGATATTATCGTAATTCAGCATTTATCCTCGGAAGACGCAGGTAAATATATCGAGCGTACTGCCCGAATTTATAACTTGTGTTGGGCAAGGCCGTGGTCTAGGCAACACGGAGTTTTCCTCCGTGGCATCCCAACAATTACTCCATTCACACACAGAAGAAGGCAATGGCAAACCACTTCTGGATCATCTGCCAAGAACGTATATGAACAGGTCCCAGTCCCAGTCCGAGAAAAGTATGGAAGGATCCTGTTCATATAGACCTGTCGTCAGACAGAACACTAAATAAATACAGGGCTACACGAAACGTAGTTCACACTTCTTATAAAACCGGCTGTAACGCAAAGCGATGCACTAAAACATAGTCGCACGAGAATATAAAACGGATTAGAGTATGTTTTTGTTTAACAAAGGAATTTACTCTTTGCGTTGTTTAATTCTTGCTGTATTTATTTTTTCCTATGACCCCTCAAGTATTTGGCAGGCTTACGTATTTTGACCACAATCGGGCTTGAAGTATTTCCCATTTGTGGTTCCATATTAGGTACTTTTTTGCGAGCATATTTCTTAATAAATTTACATAACCAGAAAACAATATATAAACACAGTGTTTTTGTTAACACCCTATTTAAAGTTTTGTTTTCATTATTAAATACAATTTTAAATGAGTTTGAGTTTGAGTTATGTTTTGATCATAATCATATTATAGACGGCTGTTCCATATTCGTATTAACTGAAATAGTAAATCAAAGCAAACTTTTTAATTTTGCAAGTGAATTAGATTAAGAAGGTCACAGTGCGAGGCTATTCTGACAGAATATAAAAAATTCTTGGAAGCCCACAAAATCATTGGTTTTAACTCCTACGGGCGGGCGTTTGTAGAATCGTCTGGAAACATCAAATTTGGAAAGACATTACATCGATTGAACAAAAAATTTAATGTTTTTCAGAGTACATTTTAACACCACGTGCTTCGTTTGTAATAACCCTATATTTCACACAAACCAACGATCGAAAAAAAAAATTCTATGGTCCCGCTGTTCAGAACCATTATGAAAACAAGCGACTTCCGACCTTACGTCAGAGAGAATCCAACTCAAACGAGCCTTCAGTTGGAAAATAATTGTGCATTAGTGAAAGTTTCTGTATTTATGATTCTCACTTAGGTCTATACACGATTCTGATTTCATGGTTCTTATTTCAGCAGTAGACATTTGCATACCCGATAAATATATTTTTTTGTCCTCTTATAATTCTGTTTCCCAATCATTATTATTATTATTTATTATTGACTGCAAATGGGTTTATACCCGGTGGCAGTGTCCTACAATAAGATACAAAACAATGAGACAGAGCAAAACAATGAGATACATCAACACAATGAGACAGAACAAAACAATAAAAAAGGACACAACAAAAGCAATATGACATAAACAGAATTACTCACCTACTGACGGAATCACTGACAGCACTGGCAACAGACGGAGTATCTCGTGTCACACTGGGATCTGGAGACTGGGGTTGATACATATTCTGTGGAGTGGATGGATAGCTCCCACCTCCAAGAGAACCTGCAGGTCCACCCCAACCAGGAACGTGTGTTACAAGCAGTGGCTTCACATAACCATTGCTCGTCGTGGGCTGGTTTTCTGCAAATAAATTCATAAATTGTGTCTTCTGGGACGTTGCACTGTGCAGACTGGTAGCTATTGACCAACATTTAAGGAGTGCATTGCTTACTTAATGCCCTGACGATGTAGCACTGCAAGAAACTGAAATTTCAACAATAAATTTGTAACTTACATCTTTCACCAATCTCTATACATGGAAGAAACACCACTTCAATGCATTGTAAACTCCAAACAATGAGATACATCAACACAGAGACAGAACAAAACAATAAAAAAGGACACAACAAAAACAATATGACACACAAACAATGAGATACATCAACACAGAGACAGAACAAAACAATAAAAAAGGACACAAAAAACAATGAGATACATCAACACATCATGCTTTTGCCTCGATAAATATAGTGTTCATTTCTCATTGAGTGCTGAAGATGTGTGTCTTGTATGTCCGTCCCATTTATTTATTCATGATTTGACCATTCTAGCAGTGAGAAGGCTTGCTAAGTTAGATTAGTGTAGATTATAAAAATTTACATCGTGTGATCTCTGCTGGATAGTTTATGTCGAGCGTGCTAGCATAAGTTTCTTCTATTATAAAAATCTGGTTTTAATTTTGCCCAATTATAGTCTACACTGTAGACTCTACAATGAATTTTCGCGGTTTTTCAAATGAAGAGCGGAATATCATTTCAATACGGCGTTGTGAAAAATATGATTTTTTTTAAAAAAAAATAATACCGGTAATTAAATATTTTTGCACACAAACTGAGTTATGTTGAACGAGAGTTTTTGATTTTAATTCAAATCAGTTTAGCCTATCACTTTTACAGTTGTTTTAAAGATCGATGTCACTTTTGAGCCACCCGGTATAACCTGCACGAGTAAAGCTTCCTCCCAGATAAATCACTCTCGGTTCGTGATTCATGCATATCCCAGCTGTTTCTTCACGAAAAAACAGGTTCTCAGTATCCCATTGCTTTCTGGATGTGCAAAATTTCCGAGAATCAGAGAAATCCTGTAATACATGTTTAGGTGGAAAGATATAATTGAATTCTGTAAATATCACTGACGATGAGATGAGACGTAATTTTAACGGTGGTAAATGTTGAAACTGCAGTCTTATGGGTTGTGACACCATGTAATCTTCTTATATGTGGTCACCATCGTTTGTCATGAGAAACGTTGGTAACCACCGACAAGGACACACGACGTCACAAAAGAAATCACAGTCTAAAGTGAATTTCCGTGTTTTTCGAATATCCCGCACGTAATTTCACCACATTGTAGTGTCGCCAGCGTTGTTTCCACCTCATAAATTCGTGCTTTCGAAATGTTGTTAACAACATTTACTGATAACAAGAAATTTAAAAATGCCAGGTTAACGTGACGTCCAGTAGGTCGTATTCCGGGGAAAAAAACCTTGGTTCTAAAGTTAGAAGATGAGAAACACGAGCGTGTTAACCTATTCATTTATACTTCCCTCCGTCGGTCCATCCGTCTGTCTGCACACGTGTCTCCGTTGCTATCTTTCTTTATGCCTAACCGCTCGTCCGTCCATCCGCCCAGGTCCTAACATCGAATGTTCCACCTTTGATACCAATCAATGTATTAAATATCGTGTTTTAGGTCGGCACTAAAATTTAACGGAATTAAAATTTAAGCCCATACTGTTCAAATAGAACTTCCTTTACTTGGAAGTCAAATAGACTTTAATTATGTATTATAAATACACCATCGTGCAAAAATTATGCATAGTGAAACTACTTATCACGACAAGATCTGCGATGTATACAGGTATATTAAACAGTTTCAGTCATGTATCTTATGAACCATAAGGAAAATATATTTATGACTGAGCATTGACTTTGGTGTAAATATTTTGCAGATAAATTCCCATTTTTGCAAAGCAAAATTACGTTACAGATTAATATTTTTAATATTTTCCGTCAAATCACAATTTTAATAAGATAATAAAATATAAAATATTTAAAATATCATTTTACGTTCCGCATCGAATGATCGATTTACAAATTGGAACGTCTCTTACGACATGTTTCGGTTATATTTAACCGTCCTCAGGTATAAAATTAGATTAGATGTCTTCCGCCAGACACGTCATGTCTCTATCAACTCTTCACCGACTAAAATTGAACATCAGATGAACCATGCCATATTAAAAACAATACCTTCGTTCTAATATATAAGAGTAATCTGATAAGAACATTTCAATAAACTGCATAACATTGTAAATGATTGTAATTCGAGTTTTAAATTTACCAATCTAATTTATACCTGAGGACGGTTAAATACAACCGAAACATGTCGTAAGACACGTTCCAATTTGTAAATCGATCATTCGATGCGGAACGTGAAATGATATTTTAAATATTTTATATTTTATCATCTTATTAAAATTGTGATTTGACGGAAAATATTAAAATATTAACCTAATTCACAATATGACGCAAATATACTACCTCACGTTACAGATGTCAAACAATCATACAATAATTTTCTTCCGTTCATTAAATGTTATGCAGATCAAAAACTGTTTCATGTAAAAAATTGTAGTTCTGAAAGAAAAAGGTTGTTATAAATTTTGATTTGGAGTTCATGTAAGGTAAGTTTGCTGATGGTGTTCGGTTTGAACTAAATTTATAGTCTTCAGACCCCGTATCGAGTTGAAACATGAGGACGGACAAGATTGGCAATATCCCCATCACACGTTCATTTTAAAAACTTCTGGTATGATAGCATACGCAACATGTTAAGGGTTCCGTTTGTCGTAGGGTCACTGCACGTGGACCAATGTGACGGGGCGTCAGGTGACGCTAACGGACACCAGTCTGTTGACGCTGTGCGAATTGGAGCGTCGAATGTTGCAGAAGGTTGCTGTCGCCAAGCTTCAGGCCCTTAACCTGGGCGTCTCCGTTCGAATCCCTAGCGGTAAGTGCATTTCAGTTGACAAGACACAAAATGCTCACTTCACTTTATCCACTGTGTCTAACATTTTTCTTGCTAGTAGTTGATTTACGTACAAGAGATAAGTTGTATGTACGAGGTGCGATCGGAAAGTTTCAAGACTGCGCCTATAAAAACCCCGTACACTTATCTCAGGTATTAAATTCATCCATCACTCTCGAAGTAGTTCCCCTGGGAGTGAACACAACGATCCCAGCGCCGCTGCCAAGCCTGGAAGCATCCCTTGAAATCTTTCTTTGTCAGCCTGTCAAGCACCATCTGCGATTCTGCCTGAATCTCTTGCCAAAGACTCGCCAAAACGGCTACGGAAACCTATGAAATGCTAAAGCAAGCATTTGGGGAGTCCGCAATGGGTCGTGCACAAACTTTTGTGTGGCATTCACGTTTTAAAAACGGCCGAACTTCTGTCGATGATGACGAGCGTTCTGGACGACCATCTTCGAGCACAACGCCCGAAAATGGTACGAAGATTCGGCAGGCCATTCACGAAGATCGACGTCGTACCATAACGACTTGTGCGACATTGTTGGGACCTGTCAGCTGATTCTAAAGGAAGAACTCCACATGCGAAACCAAGGCTCCTGTCTGAGGACCAGAAGCAGAATCGACTTCTCGTTTGTCAGGAGCTCAAAGATCTTGCAACA